CATAAATTCGTGGTCCCCCGCTGATCCCTTTGCCAGTCACCTACTAAAATTTAATAGTATTAATTACATGTAACAAATCTCATTATATTTATTCAGTTTGAGTTATTTAGTTTTACACATATTTAACTAACATATTTAATGAGTGACATTAGATGTCATAATTATATATATAGAATAAAAAATAGTAATGAAAAAATTTTAGTTGGTAATTCAATGGTAGTATCATGCAATACATCAGTCATTCATCCTACTGGATACTATTTACAGGGCACAGCAATTACCTGTAGCGCATCCTAGCTGTTATCAAGTTTTATGGAAGGATTTGTTCCAATAAACCATTGAACTCTCTGTACCGATTTTTGATAACCGACAGTAATTTTACCCCATGAGGGGGTCAGGTGTTAGCTTTCCTGCAACAACGAAGCTCTTAGAGGTCCAGACATCGCCAGAAAATTCGAATTATTCTTTTTAAAATCGGATAAAAGATAAGTGATTTTTTGACATCCTAAGTACTTATCCCATCAGAAAAGGCCGATAAAGAAACTCGATAATTTTTGATGGATTTCGAACTTACGACCCCTTGAGTATCTCCAGCTAGAAGACTACCACGCTTACCACTAAGCCATCGAAGCTTAGAAAAAATTCATGTAAAATTATAAATAACCAGAATCAAGTAAAAGAATAACGTAATAAGATATGAAGAAAAATAAAACTTTCATTCATTTAGAAACAAATTTCAAGGATCTTTTGTTAAACTGAATGGTAATGAAAAAAAAATTATAAATGAAATGGTTAATAGTGATACAAAATTATATGTTTTTGATTATCCAGCAGGTTCTAAAGAACTATTTCTATACAAAACATTAATTTCTCATTTTTTGTTAAAAAAAAAAAAGTTATCATTATAGCTTGGATGGGAATTGCATAAATTTTATGAACTAAAGAGATTACAAGTTATAGAACATTTTGATTTCCACTACATTTGAATATTATTAAAAGTTCTATTTTCGNTAATTGTAAGTATTAAGAACGAAGCCCTAATGATCGCGAAAAAGGTTTGGAAATAGTGGATGAGAGTTTAATAGATTTATTTAATAATGACTTTCCATTCTGTTGCACATTATTCCTTTTACAGGGCGATTTTATGGTGATACTTCCAATAATAAGGCATGTGTGCAAAAGTTCTATCATTAACAAAACTTAAAGGAGTTCATTTTTATAAAAATACTCTAAGACTTTAAAATTAAAAAATAAAATATGGTGTACGGACTAACAATTTTTATCGTTATTAACGGACATTGAAGGCAGAACCATGTACTCTTTTGAAATTCTTCAAGGATGAAAAACTTATAACATTTGTAACCAAATTTTTTGGGGATAACATAAATAGCTGTTTCAACAAAGTCATTCTAACAACTCATAACAAACTTTTGTATATTTAAAAAAATAAAATATTAAATATTATTAAAGAAAAAAAACGTTTTTCTATAACAAAAGAATCCTTTATAGAAAAATGTCAATCTCTGAATACTATAATTTTATGTATTTGTTGTATTGACCATGCAATAAAATAATGGTAAAAGAAACTATACATTGTAAGTATATTTTAATTTTATGAAGATATTCGAAACATTATTTAAAAAAATAAAACAAACTGAATAAGACTTGCTAGTTACACTCGATTACATAACGAACAAGTCCATTATTTTGTAGATATTAGGTGACTTAATTGTGAAATTTGGTAGATTAAATTAATTCTTCGGGAGTCGGTGCGCGGAGTGCGCTGGCAAGAAAGCCTCACCAGTAAATATATACATAACAGGAGACTCATGCAGAAAAAGAATTGTATAAATTCTTAATACATCGAACATACTGAAATACTGTTGACATTCCATTATACCTTATTCCCACCGATAGTTTTATTGATATATTAAAGACACTACTAATTATTTCCTTAATTGTGCCTTCATTTCACTAATGTTGATGCACTCGTAGGCTGTATTAATAATCCTACAAATATTGCTTTTTCTTTTATTTGTTTTTTTATATCAGTAAATCTCACAAACAATTTGTAAGAGAAGTCATCAGTACTCTTAAAAAAAACTCACTGCTGGATCTGAACTACAAGTAAAACTTGCAAAAAAAAAAAAAAAAAAAAAATACAACAAAAACTTTATAAATCCACTTTCATTTAAAAACATTAAGTATGCTTAATTCAATGTAAAAATAAGTAATAATAAGTAAACAGATACACTTTACTAACTATTATATTCAAGTACTACATAGTATGAGCATAACATTTATGTTAATTTATTGTTATACAACTTGAACCCCTCACAGATCATCTCTTCTGAAAGTATTCAGAAAAATACTTAAGTCTTTCAAATCTGGTTGGATTCACTATACTATATTCTTTTGTCTACTCAACAATCAGAGTATTCTTCAAAGCTTAGTAAATAAAATAAGATTATATTAGGTTAGAGTTATACCGTACCTGTTAGTGGGGGATTGGCACACAAGGTGCAGGGGGTAAAGACCTACTGGTATTTAAAGTATTAGTTTGTTTATTTTTATATTATGTGGTTATTTATGTAGGCAGCATTAACGTGAATATATTATAACATAATTTAATTCCCTCACAGAGTATTATGACCCCATAACTCTCATTTTGTTTTGAATAAAAAGGTAATCTTTTCATTTTTATGGGATCTTTATACAGTGGACCTTACTAGTATCCTCATCCACCACGTAAAGACAAAAATCTCTTTTTTTTTTATATTAAAATACGAGGGTTACTTTAATTAAGTTTAACCATTTGCCTTTAACTTTGGATAGTTGTCATGGAAAACGCTAAGACTAAAGCAAATAGTTTTTTGAATGAAATAAATGGTAATAGAGATGCATTTCTAGTATTTATAGTCATTTCTAGTAAGAAAATGTTAGTTTCAATTTTTTTCTTTGTGTATAATTTTTAATACATTGAAAAAAATTGTACAAACAAAAGCTTAGAAATTATTTAAATTTAAAAAAGAGTTGAGGTTACCATAAATCCTAAGGTAAAATAAACATAATGATATTTTATTTTGGTAGAGGTTCGTTTATTTTTGTAATTTAATACCTAACTCAGTAGTTGAAGCTTATTTTAAAGGCGATGGTTTATTTACTTTTTATAATTTAGAACAATCATTTACATATAAGCTTGTTATTAAAGTATGTTGTAATGTAAGTAAATTGGTACAGTCTGTTCAAAGCACACACACACACACACGCGAGCGTAAATGACAACTACTAATTATACGCGCAGCACCAAACGATGCAAGCAGTTAAACCCTAGCTTTTGTAGTAAGCAGTACCTTGTTAGTCATTAAGGTGTTGGTGCGATAAGTTCAAGACAATAAGTTCATCTTATAATACATACTATTATACCTTCACAACTACCTTTTATTATTATTAAAAAAGAAAAAACAAAAATTTAAATTCAAAATACAGGTATACAGCCAATGAAATAGTTTTCAAAAAGTTTTTTATGACTATGCTTCTATACTTTTTTCAAATGAAAAGTATTCAACGAAAATCTTTCTCTTCAACTATTAAGTTGTTTCTTAAGAAAATTTTGATAAAATAGATCACGTAAAGTCTTGTCTTATATTTTTAAAGCTTTCATGTAAAATCAGACAAACTTCATCCACATATTAACATCTTTTTACCTCTGTTTTTCTATTCCCATCCTTTACAGACAGTTAAGCTATACGTAAAACCTGAAGCTCAAAAGGAAGTTCTATTCTGGTGACACTTTTTAGAAGTTGGAAGGATGCAATGCTACTCCAAGCCATGGATACATATAATGGATACAAATAATTCGTTGAAGAATATAGTAATGATTTTATGTTTTTATAAAAATATTTTTCCTGATTATCCTGGATCATCCATGATTAAAGTTTTTTCGTTATATAAAACAGAAATTTTGCTTCATTCATAAATTTTCATAGTCAAAGTTAAGTTCATTTTGATATTATCCACGAAAGTATGGGAATTGTGTGATGTACTGAGAATATTGTAATTTAAATACAATGTCAATCGATACAACTAATTTTTATTTAACAGTTGTTTATTACACTTAATTTTTATTTAGTAGTGGGAGTTGGCACGTAAAGCGTTCAGGGTGATAAGTACTCACATGTATACATATATTTGTCAGTAGTGGTTAGCGCACAGTACTCAGAGATACGGAGATACAGTATTTACATAAGAATGAGTCGAATGATTAGTTAACTGCTAAAAAATAAGTGTGACAATATAGAAATTATATATAAAAATCTATTACTTGAAAGTTCATAAGATAACTGGGCACTTACGTTTAAAGTCCTAATGTGGGAAAAATTCCAATTGTAAAATATCCAACTTTAGAATTTGTTAATAAGTTTTAAAACTATTTCTTATAATAAAAGATTTTTCAAGACTTTTTTGTGTACCCTTTTGTTTCAAGAAGCTGTTAATGTGATGAATTCAATAAGCACTTAAAGACGTTTTCTACTCTAATGTGTTATCTACATATCACAAAAGTACTAAATAAAAATCACAAACAGTGATGTTATTAAAATACATTTAATTCAATAAAAAAATTATGTTAGTTGAGAAAAATTGGCTTGTATTTAAGGTAAAGCTTAGTCTTTTCAACTATCTGAAGATTAAGTAATTTATGTCCATCCAGTTTATATATCAATCTATTATGATATTCTATAAGATGTAAAAATAAGTAGTTTTAATTTATCATACTCACAAATCGATTCCTTTAATTCTTTATACTTTTTGCTGAGGTGTTTAAAAAATAACTTGACTAGTTTCAAAATTTTTTTTAGGTCCTAGAACAAAACGACTAAAGCGATCAAGTGCGCAAGCATTTAATTCAATCACTGAAGAAAAGCGACCTCGTACATCATTCAGTGCAGACCAATTAACGAAATTAAGGCATGAGTTTGCAGTGAATAAATACTTAACAGAACAGCGCCGGCAAATGCTTTCAAAACAGTTAGGTCTCAATGAAGTACAAATAAAGATATGGTTCCAAAATAAAAGAGCCAAAGTTAAAAAAGCAAGTGGACAAAAGAATCCCTTAGCTCTACAACTAATGGCTGAAGGTCTTTACAATCATTCGACAGTGCCCTTGTCAAAAGAGGAAATGGAACAAGCAGATGAACTTCAGGCAAAGTAAAAATTTTGGTGGTGAACGACACTGTAGCTGTTGTCTGAAAAACCAAAAAATAGAGATTCTACGTTATCTTCTTTATCATAATAAATTGTACTTTTTCTATTCTAGTGTCACATCTAGAATAGTTTTTATATATATAAACCCAGAGTAAGCTATAAAAATTTTGGTAGTTGACCTGAACAACAGATTAAATACATTGAAAAATATAAAAAGATGAATATCAAAATTATCTCCCATTTACTTCTTTAAAACTTTAGTTAATTATGTTCATAAGAGCAAGGATTTTTACTCAATGGTATCAATAAAATTTTTCTATTGATTTTACATTTGAAAGAATATAAATAAATATTACATTTAAGTTAAAAATTTTTTAGTTCAAAAAACAGTTTAAATCATTCTACATGGATTATGATAGCATCATAGTGAAGGTTGCTCAAAAGTTTCAAAATACTATTATTGTCTAACTGCTGACTATTGTGATAATATTAAAATGAGGGAAATTATTATCATTAATTTTAAACACACGTAAAAAAACCAGCAAACGAAAATTTTACACGTCTTTTAGTACATTTAAATAATGACTTTAAAAAGGACATACAGCTAGTCAGCTAACACGCTCTTTTTTCATTTACTTTAAAAGACAACTGATTTTATCTCTTTTACAAATAATGTGAATATAATAGTTTTACTATTAACGCATGAGCTATCAATCATGAAAAAGTATAATTAAGACTTAAAAACAAAAAAACAAAAAAAACAACCAGGCACCAATCATAGTAAAAACGTTATTCTAATGTTCAACAGTATACTGAAGTACTAAAAAATTCACTCAACGTTTTCAATATTATTTTGCCGTGTCTTATATTTCTAACATAATGTTCTTTACCAGATAAATAAAAAACCATCGTCTTTATTTGAGAACTATTTTTTATTTTCCTTTCTCTTAGACCCTGTACCAATTATCATGCTGCTGTTTCTTTCATTTCTGATAATTGAAAATGCCTATCTTATAAACTACTTTCTCAAATATAAGTCATAAGTATTTCAACAAACCTATTTCCTTACTTTATTGCCCTTTCTATTATTAAAAATTATTTCATCGTGCTACACTACCATGGATCAGCAGGTAGAAAAGTGGGTGTAGAAAAAATAAGTCTCTTATGCGTACAAAAAACATAAAATATTGTAGACAATTTTGAGGCTTTTATACATACTTATAGACATTAACTCTTCCACATCTCACATAATCTTAGTTTTAAGTAAATGCACATAAATTCAGTCTGCTGTAAATTTCTGAAGTGAGAATAAGATACGCACTTTTGTTGTTGGATTTAATTTTAGATGCTTTACACGTACTTTACGGTAAAGATAAGTAGAAGTGTAAAAAACCTAGGAGTTTGTATTATATTGCAGGTAAATAAGAATTTCTAATACGATAAAAAAAAAAGAAACCAATCGCTTGCTCCCTGATTTGCAAATGAACTTTAAGAAATCCGTCTGAATGAAGGTTGCGATCACGCAGGTTCACCGTCCAATTTAATTTTTATTTTATTTTAAAACTGTTATTAATTGTTTTTGTTTCGTTTCAATTATAATTATCACAACTAGTATTATCATAAAAATTCATCCATACCATCCTCTCCTGCTGATCGATAATATACTTTTCTTGAAAAGTAGACTCAAAAAATATCTGGATTGAGTAAATTTCTTCAAAAATCCAATGAAAACAGTAGAAGAGGAACAAATTTCACTTTAAACGTAAATACACAAGCTCCAACAAGATACTTACTCTGTGAAAGCAACTTCAGATAAAGAAGATACCTTGAACTAAAGTTTAACTTCAAAAGAGGTATAGCCTATCAAAAGCTTTAGTTCAAATAATAAAAAAGTTTAAATTAATATATACAGAATCTTTTGTTATTACTCCTAGACTAGAGGATGTGAAAAAAATAAATAAACAACTGTTTCAATTGCTGATCGCTTATAACTTGGATTTTACAACCTTAAAATCTTAGTATTTGAATGATTTTATTAAAGTTTAGGACCAGCATATTCACTTCCAAAAATTAACAATCTGTGCACTAATGTATCTGATGGTTTGTTAAAAGAAAAAGATTCAATTTAATTTGCAAAAATAGTTGTAGTATTTTGTTAATTAGTGAGCAACAAGATAATAAGTGCATAAGCATGCTTAAAGATCAAACAAGTTAAATTCCTGACGTTAATTCTTACTAATTTTTCAGCAATGAAAATAATTTGAAAACAACTAAATTTCAAAAGGAAAGGACATATTTGGAATTAGCTTATAAACTATAGTATCTAATACATAAATTTTCTTAGAAGCGATTAATTCGAACATTTTAAGATCATAACTCATCTTGTCCTTGTTGATTTCGTCACAATCATCTTTTTAATTGAGTCTCCATTCCTTATGCTACTCTGAAACATTGATAAAGTGCATTTTCTAGAACTATCTCTGTCTTTTCGTATGAATGATTTACAATTCAATAAGTGTGAGTTGTATTTAATTTCCGAGCTTCTTTTTTTCATTCAATAATTGACCAATTCACTAACATTGTATTTATACCACTCAGAAATATCTCAATCAAGCTTCGATAAATCGATTAAAGTCTCAGCGGTAACTTTATTCTCATTATTTTAAAGCACTTCAAAGCTATCTGGTGTACCTTTCGATGGTTGCTGACGACTGTTGGCTTCTCTCTTGTTTCCCTTAAGTTTATTGTTCTCACTATCAAAGAGAACTTAGCTCTCGTGTTCTTTTCCTTTTCGATCGTTTCATTCACTCCTAGTTGGTTCTTAAATTGTATTTATTAAGTAATTAATTGTTTTAGGAAAACGATTGATGTAGAAAAGTTTGAAAAACCAAGCGTCACATTTTTTAAATAAATTAAACCACGAAATTGGCTCCATTTACGTTAATCCTTAGAACAAACTCTATAAGAATGTTATGAAGGGCCTGTTTTAATTTAAAAACCAGTATATCACAATTAATTATGAACAGAATAAGCAACTCAGTAGAAATAACTAACCAGTTTTACCGTATTTATAATAAATAAGAAAAATCGTTGTTGACGGCAAAACGGTAAAACCGTAAAGTTGTTCAGGACTATTTTGAGGTAAATCTGTATTAATTCATGAAGTAAATTGATTTTTCAAAAAATTAAGACAACTTGTAACAAGTCCCTTGATTAATTATTTCATTCTCTTCTATTCACTTCGTCACGAGTTCAGCACTTCTTTCTTGAGTGGAAAAACTTGTCACTTCGGATGTTTGTAATATAATATCGTCTTCTTTTTATATTTTTTCAGTTTTTCTTCAACTTTTCGTGACCAGATTTGTATAAAAGTTGTGATTTATAACGATTAATCGATCGATGATTCTGATCTGATCATGATCAAACTCATGATTCTATTGTTTTGTTTGGGCCGAATTTTAATTTGGAGCACTTAATAAGTATCATGATGAGTCCGAGGATAAGTCAAACCAAAAAAACTTTCACTAGTCAACTTAAGTCTTTACAAATAGAAGTATAACGTACTTGTTATATAATTTATCATTGGAAATTCTAATTTCGACGATGTTTTGGTTTAAACAACAAATTACTCTATTGTTAGACTTTTATGTGTAAAACCATATACTTTTTTCAGTTTCTCTAGTAATAAAACTTGTAACTTGTATACACAAAAATGAAACTTCTAACTTCTACAGCAATAAAAATTTGTAGGGAGAACAAAAAAGACAGTAAATGTGAAAACTTCTGCAGATATCACTTTCTGATGCTATACTATAACATAAACAGCTTATCCTATGGATATGTTACCTGGGGTTGGTTAGGCAGTGATGAATTTTATTTAAAAAATAATCGAATCATTTAATCGTTAATTTTTTATGGCACTGTTTTACATGAATTATTTAACAAAAAAAATTTATGACACATCACTTGTTTTTATTGATTTTATAATAACATTTTTGATAAACATGAACAAAATTAATTAATTATAGTACATGCAGAGCATAATTTTGAACAAAATACTCGCTTGTACTTTAAGATTCTTTAGGTTACTGCTAAGGTTCGTTTGCTCGCCTGTGGTTCAACTCTTAGTGATTGTTGAGGTTGGGTCGTTCGCTTGTGGTTATTTATAATGCTCTGGGTTACGTAGAGTTGAGTTTTATTATTATTTTTTGCTTATTTTTGTCCCACGCTTTTTTAATTATGTTTTAAGAAAAATATTTTCTTTCGTCGTTGGTGGGGGCCTTTTATTGGTAGCGGCCAGTACTTGGCCTGCAGTATAATCCAGCACTACATCCCTACCTACTAACAGTAAGTTAATAGAAAAGGTTTGATGCAAAGACAACAAAAAATGGTAAATAAATGTTTTATTAATTAAAAACAAATGAAAATTTCGTGCAATACATATACAAACATATAATTTAATTATGTTTTTGTGTCCTCTGCTCCTCTCTTTAAGTGCTCTCTTTGTTTCGCCTGTGCATTTTGTGGGAACAATTACAAAACTGAATCTATGGTAAAGGTGCATCAAATTTCCAACAATCCTACTTTTACATGGGATGATATTAAAATACTGGACAATGAGCCAAATTACAAGAAACGATTGATTCCTGAAACGCTCCATATAGTATCAGATGACAATAATATAAATAAAAAAAGGACATATACACTTTGAGTCACACTTATAAAAGTTTTTTCAAAAATGTACGTTGCTGACTATGTCTAATGGTCTGATACATTGGCTCATGATGTATTTGTATAAATATGTGTACTCTCCTATAGATAGATAACTTTGCGAAATGTGGTTGCTTTTGCCCATTTGACTTGCGTTGTGTGTGTTTTTTATTTCAAAGTTTGCCCCATAAGATCAACTAAAAATGATTAAACTACATTAATATGGAAGGCGAGAAACATCATAAGTATATACAAAAATATTTGTTCTTTAAATGAAAGTATATACAAGAAAATATA